GGAAGGCTGAGGATAGCTGGCACCAACTGTGTCCCACAGGTGGGAGCAGCAGGAATTGCACACCCAGCCTGGGGAGGGCAGGTTGCACATGTCAGTTTACAGTTACTGGTGCACTGCTGTCACTTTGTGTTTCTTTGTGCACACTCCTGCTGTTCCATTCCCACTGGCCAGGGCACCATCCCCAGAAATTTCCCCTGGATGTCATTTCAGTGTTCAAGAATCCTCATCAAAATCACACCAAGTCCTCTTTTCAGACAGCTGCAGAAAAGATCACTAAGAAAAGAGCAGCACAAATACAGAACTTAATTTTGCCACCCTATAAAGACAAAACAGTGAGGTACATTGCAGTACCTCACACTTGTGAGGCACATGGCAGGCACTGAACACTGTAGCGAGGCAATTTCAAAATAAAGTGAGCAGTCAAACCACAGATCAAATATTATGCAGGTAAGATTAAGTGTAAACTGTGTCTGGAGAAATCAGGAAAGAAAAATCACAACAACACAACTTCTGTAAACCAGCTCATCTTATGCGTTGTTTATTCAAAAAATTTGAATAAAGCAAAAACTTTTATGCCACAAGCACACAGGCACCACCAACTTCTTTGATCTTCTCCTCTGCTCTTCTGCTGAAGAACTTGGCTTTCACAATGACAGGCTGCTTGGGCAGCTTCCCCTTGCCCAGCACTTTGTAGTAGCCCTAGAAAGATTTAAAAAAGAAGTTCAGTGTTTGTAATTAGCTGGCAGGCTCCTACACTCAGGCCTGTTAACACACACCGGTTAAAAACAGAACCAGGATCACCATGACCTTATCCAGCCAATTCATTCCATTAAAAGGACAATCATGACATGAGGTGAGAAGTGGGCCCTAAGTGGCCAACAGAGGCAGAGCAGTGTCCCTGATTCGGTGGCTGGCTGAGACACGGGACATCAGAGCCAGTGAATATGGATCAGATGTTTCTGTCCGAGAACTATAGCACACCAAGACAACCAAACATGTGGAGATGTGACTCTAGTCTCGAGGGTGACGTGGAGTGAAACAGGCTCCACCATGGTTTTGTTCCCTCAGGAACATCTGAAACCAGCCAGTGCCTGTCCACACACACACACCAGCAGGACAAAAAGTTCTTACAGGGAAAATGTAACACTCTAAGTGTTTCTGTGACTACTCAGAGCCCGGGGTCTGGCCCAGCAGCCCCAGCAGCACTCACCGAGCGCACGACGTCGATGACCGGGGCCAGGCCGGCCTCGTTCTTGGCGTAGTTGAGCCTGGTCTGCTCGCTGACCAGCGTCCACAGCTTGTCCAGGTTGACAGTGGGACAGAACTTCTGGTTCCTCTTCAAGTGATAGTGCCTCATGCCCACTTTCCCAAAGTAACCAGGGTGACTGTGGGAGAAACACATTCCGCATTAGATCCCACTTTTAACTCACCCTGAGCAAGCAGAACTCTGAACTCACACTGAAACGAACATCTTACAAAATCAGAGGATCCAGAATGTCACATTGCACTTTTTTCCCATACAAATGTGTGTAGAATTTAGGTGCAATACTGATTAGTATCCAAACCAAGGAACAATTACACTCTCTCCCTTGAACTCACCCTCAATCCCTGCTGAGGCTGTATTTCCAGGGAATCCCCACCTGCAGGGAGGGCTGTCCTGCCTGGAATGTTCTGGCAGTGCTGTCACTGACCCGGTGACTGACTGAGCCAGCAGGGCACAGCCAGTGAATAGAGATCAGTGGTTCCTGTCCGAGGACTCCAGCACACCAGGACCACGGGCAGGGCCCAGGTGTGACTCTACAGTCTCGGGGATCAGTGTCCCTCCCCTGCACCTGAAGCAGCCAACAGGATGCAACAACACATTCTGAATTTGTTCTGTGTGCACTGCTAGGCAGGGACCACACTGTAACAGATAATTTGGCCAGCTTTACCTGATGCTGCACTGAACTCTCCAAAATGCCAAGTGAGAAGGTTTTTGGTTTTAGGCTAAGTGGGGACATGAGCAGCTGTAATGCCACACTTCCATTAAAAGAAAAAACACACAGAATTGCAGAAAGCTTTGCTTATTCACATAGAGAAGTCAGTTGCTTCTACTTCAGGAGCATGCATGTTGCTAGTAGATATTTACAACGTTGGCTTACTATTTATCAAAGTTAATCCTGTGATGGTGCAAACCACCGGCATTACCACGTCCTCCAGGATGCTTCCTGTGTTTGCCTGAGAAGAAAAATTTTAAGCTTGTTACATTAATATTACACACAACACTTAGAAATACCTTCAGTATCAACTTAGTTGTTTTATCTTGTGGTGTGACAAGGCTGGAATGGATAGAGTCGGAAGGAAGACTGCACTGCCCTGTTAGTTTAAGATGCCGCACACCCAGTACCGATGGGCTGAGCAGTGTGGAAATTATCAACCCAGGGAGACTGAAACGTGCAGGACACGATCAGCCATCACCGCGGCAGCTGCCCGCACGCTGCGGCCTTCAGCCCTGCTCCATACCCGCAGGCTGCGGCAGTCCCTGCACGCACAGCCCCTTCCCATGGATCCGGGAACAGCGGCAGCCCTGCTCCATACCCGCAGGCTGCGGCAGTCCCTGCACGCACAGCCCCTTCCCATGGATGCGGGAACAGCGGCCGCCTCCCCTCAGCACCCGCGGCCGCCTCCGCACTCACCCACGCGGCCGTGGCCGTGGCTGACGTGTCCTCTCAGCTTCCGGGTCTTCCTGAGCCTGGAGGGCTGCGGGGAAGGGGGACAGCGGCCGTCAGCGAGCGCCACCAGAGCCCCGCGCCCGCCCCGGGACCCGCGCCGCCGGGCGCCATGGCGGACCGGCCTGCCCGCGCCGCTGCCGCCCGCCGCGGGCTCCGAGCCGCGCCTCCCCACCACCCTCGGCTACTCCGCAGTCCCGTCCCGGCGGGGGAGCGAGGGGCGGCGGGAGCAGGGTCCCGATCCCGGTCCGGTCCCATCCCATTCCCTCCCCTCCCGGCCCGGCCGCAGCTCCCACCATCTTGCCGGCGTGCGCGAGGGAGAGAAAGGGCGCGGCTCTCGCGAGAGCGGGCCAAGGCGCGCGGGGCGGGGCGGGGCGGGGCGGAGATCTCGCGAGGCTTGGCTGAGGCGGGAGCGGCGGGCGGCGCTCCGTGTCCGCTCCAAGAGCGCCAAAGCGGCGTTTCGAACTGAATTTAGGAATATGTGCAAGTTTGGTCACTTTATTAAACATCCATAATAGTGGGAAATGAACACTACGTCCTTAAACACAATTACTTCACACTGGAGTGTGAATTCCTGGAGTGTTACTGTTTCTTAAGCTTGGCTTCTAGGTTGTTTTTTTTTTTTAATGGATTTTATACTGTTAAGATTTTAAACAAAACTTTACCAATTTTAAACACAGGCCTCAGCACTGGATTTATTTTTCTTTAGAAATTTTATGGTGCACTTACGATGTTCCATGCTGAGGAACGCCATTAGTTTTAACTAATTTAGTAGGGAAAGTAATGAACGTCTTAGCTTTTGTTCATCCGATCCCCTCAAGCACAAACCTCCAGGTAACACGAGGGTTGTTTACAAGCTGTAGTCTGAGGATCAAAAAGGCACCCACAGGTTTTTTGGGCCATGATCTGGCCTTGTCCAGTGGCACCCTCTGACTCACATCACAAAAATGGGAACACGCTGACAGATAACACAATGTTTAAAAGCTTTCTCCTTTAATTTTTAAAGTGCAAATGGAGCAAAACAGCTTTGGCACAGGAGATGGGTTTTACAGCACAACATTTTTGTACACTGGCATTCCGTGGCTTTGTCTCGCCTTTGCAGTACCTCCTCAGCATGTCCCGATACCGTTTTATCCATCGTTTTCTGAAGAGGAATTACGTATTTCCCCCTACATTCACTAGCAGCTGTTGTTTATAAAAAGGCCAGAAGCCACCTGTACAAGTGACGTTACTCCTTCCACTCTCAAGAATTACATCTAGCAGTCATTCTGGAACTTGGAGCGTATCGCAGAGCAGAACTAATGGAAGGTACCAGTCGTGGCGACACTTCCTCCGCAGCAAAAGCACCTGGTATTCCACAGACATTTCGCCTACACTTAAGCTTTTGTGTATTTTGGAGTGTGAGGGAGGTAACTGAAGAAGGAAACGACTTCACCTTTTCAGTGCACAGCCCCCGGAATTTGCTCTATGAGGCTGATAGCAAACCAGAACCACTGCCAGGTCAGGAACTGCGCAAGCCTCAAAGCCCGTCTAACCACGGCACTCACACTGAGAATGACGAAAACCAGAGCGTGGTGGGTTTCCTCTAAAGGTAACAGGCTTCAGCTAATTTTCATTGTCTGTCAGACTTGCAACATATTGAAGCATTTTATTTGTTTGTTTTTAAATTTTCTTCTTCAGACTATGGGAAAACTTACAGAACCTCAACAGGAGTTCTATTTCCAGATCAAGGACGAATGTGACTTGGGCACCATGCACAGCACAAACCCAAGAGCAGTATCTGTGATACAATAAAATAAGGCTTCAGCTAATTTTCATTGTCTGTCAGACTTGCAACATATATTGAAGCATTTTATTTGTTTGTTTTTAAATTTTCTTCTTCAGACTATGGGAAAACTTACAGAACCTCAACAGGAGTTCTATTTCCAGATCAAGGACGAATGTGACTTGGGCACCATGCACAGCACAAAGCCAAGAGCAGTATCTGTGATACAACAATAAAATCATTTGCTGCTAACCCCTGAAAAAAATAAAAATGTTTTAACAGATGCTTCTGTTGGGATAAAATTTTTAAAAAGGGGTATAAAATGCCTTGTCTTAGCCCTGGTGAAAAACACTGAAGAAACCCCAACCTCCGTGACGTGAAATAGCAAACCTACCAAAAGACAGGTTCATGATAACCACTTCACATTTTAATTACAAATTCATTTAAAAATCACAGGTGAGTTGCTGCGTCTGTACCTGCTCCACACGAGGAAGTGCAGAGGTTTGCAATGAACATGAACAAACAGGTCTATTTACAGAGTTTATTGGGATCCATCCATACATACATTAGGACAGGCTGCACTGTACCTACTCGCTGCAGCTTGCGTGGCAGAGAGCTGCGATCCCCCAGGCTTAGCATCCTAGTGCACAGTGGGTTAGAAGGGGTTTACTGACCAGACTTCAAACCAGAGGTTCTGTAATGCGAACCAAGTACCTCATTATCAAGTTACTGTGTTATTTCTCCTTGAAAATCAGCTCGAAGGAAACAGACAGACAGACAGACAGAGAAGTGCCTGTGCGCACGAGAGCAGCCCCGTGCGTACAACCTCTCCCACGTACCCGAGCTCATTCACCCCGCAGCGTTCAGGCATCAAACATCCCTGGAAGTCAGTGGTTCTGCTGAGACAGTCAGCTGCACAAAATCACCTACTCGTTTCTGCACCAAGCATAACTCAACTCATACTAAAGAAAAAAAAACAAGCACCTGGTATTCTCAGGAATATACAAATATTTACCACAGTTTTCTCGCTCATTACAAAATCAGTTACAAAAGCTTACAGCACATTATGTACAAACTCTGCCCAAAACCACGGAGGAGCCATCTCGAGGCACGCTGACACAGCACCCACGGGTCATCCTGGGGCTGCCCCAGCTGGCTCCACTCTCCTCCCGCTCCGCACTCCAGCGCCGCCGGTGCCATAAATAGGTCTGGGGTTGGTGTTTCAGCAGGAAGGAGCTAGTTCTTCTTGTGAAGGAACTTCATTTTGTTACCTAAAGGAAGCACACCGTCAGTCTCCAGCAGAGAGCAGAAGTCAATCCGAAGTGACAGCAAATGGGTCTAACTCGCAATGATCACCAGCAGGGAGAGCTGAGTTACAGAACACCGACTGCTCCAACCCCTTCCTGTTGCACTCCTCGATTATGCCTTGGCTCCCCCATCCCCAAGTCAAAATGAAAGTGTTAACAAGGACCGTCACTAAATCTGGTTTTATCACTTTCAACTATATTTTCATTGTTTTCTTTTTTGTAATTCCTATCACGCTGAAACCGCCGCATTACCTCATTTCACCTCGGGTAAGGCTTTTTCAAATGAAAAAAAAAAAAAAAAGGAAAAACACTATAACCAAAACCCCCCCCATCACCATGAAAATTCATTTCAAAAATACTTGTAAAGGTTTTCCTCACCGAGGCCTCGCAGGAACTTGTTTACTCCGCTTTGTTCCGTGTCCGGGAGCTCTTCCAAATACTGTTCCACCCTCTGCTCGAAGAGCCCTGCGGCAGACGGAGACAGGCACGGGATGAGCCGCGTCCCGCCGCTCACAGCGCCCTTCCGGCGAACCGGGCGGGATTGCCGGGATTTCCGCTCTCCCGGGGAGCGCCGGGCATGGAGGGACCGAGCGGAGCAGGGGAGACACCCAGCCGTACCTTTAGCCCTGCATTTCCTCAGCTCTCTGTCCTGGATGAAGCCAGCGAACATTTGGGATTCCATGAAAACTTCCAAGAAGCGGCGGATACTCTTGGAGGCCACCGATTTACGGAAAGCCTCCCTTTGGAAGGCACGCTCTCCTTTTTCATTCTGGGTTAGGAACAGGGAATAATGGCCAACTGTCTCCACAAAGAATCGGATAAAAACCTCAGACACTAATCCATTCAGGGTGTTACATTCTGCAAAATAAGGCAGCAATAAGACACCAAAATCAGCTGCTACCAGAGCTGTCAGCATTACCCCCGCAGGGCCAGGCTGTGCATCTCCCGCTTCCCTGATGCCGCGCTAACAACTGGCAGGAGTGGCAGCGGCTCCCTGCACACCTGGATGCACATGGAGAGGGTGACAGCGCCATAACCAGGGGTGCCAGCCTGCAGAATTGGTGTTCCGTGACCAAGAGTCAGCGAGAATTACAAATCCTCAGCAAATTAAACATTTGATGGGTGTTTCATCAAAATCAAACCTCCTGTTTTCACTCTTGAGCAAGCTTTCTTCAGAAACTTCTGAATGAATCAGCATAAAACTATTTCTCCTTGAGAAAAAGTCTGTACCAAAAACTGATCAAAAAGGGTCTGTTGTAGAATTTGTTTTCATCATTTCTGAGATGTTTAAATAGTCATATATGTAACACATATGACTAGAAATAAATTTCAAAAACTGAATAGGAGCCTGTTTCATACCTTTTTAACCACAGGCATCTCAATTCACCCTGGGCTGTTTTTATCACTGCTGAAGAGAAATATGAACCTCCAGAGACAACCCAACCCGTCTTGGACTAAAATTCTTTTCTGGTGGTACCTGCTTCTCTCCCTGAAAATAGTGAGTGCCAAGAGCAACTCCAAACTCAGACACACCCCTAAACCTGGAGAATTATCTGGATTGAGTTAGGGCCAAGTTAACTGCAAACTTCTGTTTGAGCAAAGGTTCAGAGGGACCCATGGGACTCCTTGTCATTTACAAAGAAATTAAAATAAATCACAGGTGAGGCATCATTGTGGGTTGATGCCGTCAGTCTCATTCTCCCTGTGTGCTCAGAGACAACCTTTGATGTCACCAAAGGCATTTGAGACCTCAAGTCCCATCTTTGTTTCTCCTGCTTGGAAAATCACAGTTCTACCTACATTTGTTCATGACACAAGTCCCTGTTTCCAAAGGAACTTACCATCATCTGAATCACTATCTGAATCCTGATTTATCAGTTCATTCTTTCTCTCTAGAGCCTGCTCCAGAGCAGCTTGCAATTTTCTAGGCAATAGTGTGTCTTCATCATCCATCTGATAGAGGGAAAAAAAATCTTTAAGCCACAATAATCTATTCAGGAACTACAGCAAATACTTTCAGAAGGTTTAGAATTCAGATGAAAAATATTTGCATCTGCTACTATCATGGCTACATAAATAAAAGAATGAGAATGTATGTGCAACTAACAAATACTTGTAAAAATTTCTTGTCACTCTTAATAAGATTAAAGTCAGGAATGATAATCCAAAGAGCAGGTAAACACAGAAGTGTGGAATCAGCTCTTTGCATGACAAAGAGGCCACATAGTTGTGTTTAACTAAACACACATCATGTGAAGCCTTCCTAGGTGTACACACAGCTGCTGTAGTTGGTTGTAGGCAGCTCCTTTGGTCCTTGACAGTTGCTTTACTGTTTTCTATTCTGTCTTGTTTTCTGGGTCTTGCCCCTGTTGCTCTCTTCATTTTATTTTATTCTTGTTCAGCAGAAGCCAAGTAAGCACAGGAGCCTCAGCTCTGCAGCCACTGTTCACCAGCCAGGGAATCAAACACAAAAGTTTCCCCATGCTACCTGCAGTCTGTTGGTTTGAAATTATTTTGTGCCACATGACTGTCAGGAGATGGTGATCTCTCATCTCCTTGTTTACAAGGTTTCTGCTTTTCCTGTCACATTAAACTATTCTCCACCTTTGTGCTCTCACTCAGGAATTTTCTTTGCTATTTTTGTCCTTTTCACCTCCAACAGTGTTGAGTGTTCTTGCTAAGGTGATATTATTATCTTTGGATGCTTTCTTTCCACTGTGGATACAGTTCTTGATTCCTTCTGACAGTCACAGCCTCAATCCCTTCTGCACACCAGAGTAGTTCTTACTTGCAGGTGGAACAGAAAATGAGAACTTTATTTTTCCCCTCATCGTTTTCCCTTTGCACACACAATTCCTGCCAAATCCCTCTGATCAAAGAAACCCGATCATACCATAGGAGTAAACAGCTTGCTAGACTGCATGGCAGCATTCTGAGCTGTACTTTACCTGTCTGATGAATCGATCAGAGCCCAGGTTAACCATCAAAGCCTACAGAAAAGAAAACACTGCAGTGAAATGTATCTGAAGATACAGAAAACATTCATTTGTTCATTGCTTTTTAATAGCAAAAGATCATCTGCTGAACAAGCCTCAACATGAATCAAATTCCTACTGTGAAACAAGAGGTTGTGTGCTTTATGAAACAACGTGAAGGTTTGCTTTAGAGCTACGAGTCTAATTTAACATAGATACAACAGATCTCATACTAGATTAATGTATTTTAAAAAGCTAAAAGGGATTTTTTTTCTTCTTAAATCTATGCAAGTTATAACTAATAATTTTTGTTAACGTGCAGCTGAAAAGTGTTTCAAGGGGTTTAAAGAAAACAATGTGGAGGCAGCAGGGATTCCAAAGGGCATGGGTGTGAAATATTCATGATAAAAAAAGCAGCAAAGCTGAGAGATGGAGCTGGGAAGATGTGGAACAGCAATGTTAGGAAAGCAGAAGGAAAACAGAGCAGAGAATTACATGGGCCAGAGGCACACAAGGCCTTGGAAATGAGCACAAGAAAATTCCTTAGGAAAATGACAGGAAACTAACAGGAGCAAGAGAGAAAAGAGTGTGTCCTTGAGTATTTTTGTGGTTTTTTACTGGAAGAGCTGATGAAGTGCAACTTTCATTTGATTTCCAATGTAGTATCAACAAAGTCTTAGAAGTTAAAATTCTTAAAGGTTTTGTCTCCTGTGTGGGCTATGGCTTCATGCACCACTTCCATAAGGATTAAGAGATGTCATGGCAGATGGCTTCCTCTTGTTCCAGAACAAATCAGCATATTTACACCCTCCTTACTGGTGACCAGGTAAACATGGTCACTGGTCTCTGACAAGGTGCCAGGTATGGAAGAGGGGCAGAATAAAAGAGAAGAATAAACCTACTGCTGCAGCTTTGCCAAGAGGCAGTTGCCAATGAGAACCAGGCAGAGAAGAAACAAAGAGGCAGATTAAAAATTAAACATGTGAGGATTTATGTCCCAGTGGCAGCTCTCTCCTAGGAGAGGCCAGCTTTACTCCAGGCAAACAACTGTGGTGCCAGCTCCTACCTCCTCTACAGGCAGGTCCTTGAGTTTGGGCAGGGAGCTGGAAAGCAGTCCCACCAGGAAGGGGGTAGGGCAGCACACGATGTCGATCATGGACGAGGGCAGGACAGGAATGAAGGTGTGCTGCCAGGAGAAGGGGTACAGCAGGGCCACTACAGCGTGGGAGCAGCTCGACAGGGTGCTGGGGAGAGAGGAACAGCCAGGTTAGCAAAGGCTTTTCTTGGTTCACAACACCTCCTACCCGCTGAGAAACTCAGCCTGTTGAAATACAAGTGCCCAAGGTGCTGCCTCTCTGGCACTTGTGACTTCAGACAGGCCTCGGTCCCCTTCCAGTCCCTGCCCTCTCTGTGCTGTGCAGTGTGGCAGGACACAGCAGACCCCAAACCAAAGGTACAAAACTAGAACCTGTCTGTTTCAAACGAGAATCTGTTTGTTTCATAGCAGATGGTTTGATCTAGAAGTCAAGATTCAATGTTCCCAAAAGCACTCAAAAGGAGCCACTTTGAACAATGCTTAAAACCCAAAAGCAGCTTCAGATCTTGGCTGTTACGATCATATCAGTAGTAAAAAAGCATAATAGTAATGTTCTTAACTACAGGAACAAAGGAAAATGAAAAGTAAAATAAAATTGGAAAAAAATCCTCAAGACAAACTCTACCAAATCAGATATAAAAAAACCCCCAACAATCAATACCTGTTCCAAAGGAAAGCTGGTAAAAGCAACACATTTTTCAAATATTGCGTATTTTTTGACAATAGCATCTTTTTATTATCATACCTTTTAAAGGACTTATTACCCAACTTCAGTGATAAAGGTATTGATCCTGCTCAGCAGAGTACACTAAAATACAGGTTGGTAGCTCCTAAACTTTAAGGCTTGATACTGTCATGGAAAATGTCATGCATATGTTGTCCTTCCATCTATTGAATCCGATTCCCTTTTGCAGTCACATGGTTTCCAAATGTTAAAAATTGAGGAACATCATTACCAAGTGAGTTTTAACATCAGGGGAATAAATACTAGCTCTTCATATCACAGCTACGACATCTGCCTCTTGCAGGCTGAGATGACAGAAATTTGGATCCAACGCAACTGAACTAATTTTCTCACATTGCAAACTTCTGCTGTGCTTAATGTAGCCACAAAGAACTGTAAATAATAACTGCAGAGCTGTTACTGCTTTAAAATTCTGGGGAGAGGTGCTCATTTCTTCTACTGCAAGACTTGGTGGAGACTTTAGGTGGCATCAGACCTCCACCAGAATAACCTTCCTGAGCATTTTTACTTCAGTTGTGAATTGTTCCAAGGCCAGAGGAAAGGTTTCACCTGTTTGTTCCCAACAGTGATTTACCTTCAAAGTTTGCTGCATGAGAAAAATGAGAATTAGGGGACAAAGAGAGAAAAAGTTGGGGAATAGCAAATCCCTGTGTTTTACTGCAAATAGTCTGCTGGCTTGTTTTAATTGACACTTCCTTTAAGATCTGAAAATCCCAGCATGGGTTTATAACAAATGTTGCCTGACACAAAGATCTTGAAAATTTATGTATTTCTCTAATTTATATTTTTATGTATAACAAGCAGCGGTGCTGCCATTGCCTCATATTTTGGTCTCAAGCATCTGGTACAGACTCCCAGCACTTCCTCAAGATCTCTTCAATGACTCGTTGGCATTTTCACCTACTACAAATTCAGTCATCTTCGCTGAGCAACTAAAAAAAGAGCCACGTTAAGCTAAAAGCAGTTAGACAAACATTCTTCTGCTGTTCAGTGAGTATTTGTTTCCTTTCTGTAAAATGCCCTTTTGTAACATGTTGTGTTACACGCAGTGCTGTGACGTAAATCAGCCCCTGCAGCCTCTTGTGCGTGCTGTTCCCACGCTGGGGAGGCTTCAGCCTCCAGCCCAGGACACTGCAATCTCTTCCTGAGCTTTCCAGGAGCCAGCTGGGGCAAGGCAGAGCCCAGGGAGCAGCAGTGCTGGGGGTCCTGTGGCAGCACCCAGCTCTGCCCTGCCAGCACCCCACGACAGTCACACCACTGCCCTGTCAGCACCTCGGCCTCTGCACTTCAGCATTCTGCACACAGCTCTTCAAATTCAGCCTCAGAAAATCCTTCCTTGTGGAACATCTCATCCCCATCAAACATCCCCTCCAAGCTTCCAGCCCCCAGTACTTCCTGCTGCCATCCCTCCCGGACACCCCTCTGCAGGACTCCTACAGCTGTCACCGAACTCCTGCTTGTACAAAGTAACTGTCTCTGCCCTAGCTGGAAAGATTCGTATTTAGAATGGATACACACCTTCCACTTGAGTGAAATTTCATGGTTTGTAAGGTAAAATTCAGAGGTGATAGGTGCAAAGGAACCCTCAGCCTGAATCTCCAAAATAGAGTTCAGAACCTTTTAAAGGGATATTTTTGATGAGAAGAATGCTTACTAAAGTAAAAAAAGCAAGGCCTACCCTGGGAAACCAAGTGCTCTAGTTTTTCTTTTCAAAATGTGCAACCCACACATTATCCAACTGTTCTTGTTTATGAGAATTAAGCAGTAAGGTCAGATGGTTTATTTTCTTTAAGGTGTGTGAAGCACACAAAGTAAAGCAACAGAATAGTCAAAGTTAGATTTTCAAAATATTTTTACTTTTAATACTCTAGGGCACTTCCAGAGAGCTGTTTTCGAGATTGGGCTTTTTCATTTGGTTTGTGCAGTTTTACAGGAATGCTGCATAATGTTCTAGCTGTTGTTGTACTGGAAAACACTTCTTTATTTCCATGGTTGTCATCTTGTAAAAGAATTATTTGGAATTTGCCAGCATTTTGGTTCTCTCCATGCCTTTTTATTCACTAGATTAAAAAAACCTTCAATGTTTGATCTTTTCCCTGTGAAGGTAGTAATACAAGATTATACAAGTATATCGAGACATTCTTTATGACAAATTTCTCTTGAAGAGATCCTTTATCATGTTACAGGCAAAATATGACATTGCTTCTTTCCCACTCAAAGTTGATTTATGTTACTCTGGGCTATTTTGTTTCCCAAATAATTTTCTCATGATAGCACACAGAACCTTTTCCTTGTTGTGTTGTTGGCTGGGGAGATGCAAGCTCAGACTAAGAGCTGAGGCACCAGAATTTCAGACACAACTGTAACTCAGCTGAATTTTGGAGACTGTTTATGAGCACAGTTTAAGTCTACATCAAAAAGCAAATCACTGTGACTTAACAAGAACCTTTTCTGTCCTTTAGATAGGGAGAATGTCTGGTAGTAATTTCTGGGTTGGCCAACCAACAGCCCCAGACGTAGGCTATATCCATCTCTTATCAGAGCACAATTAGCACACTCTGAGAAGGACAAGCTGTTGGGCAGGGGATGGACACTGCCCTGGCTGGGATGTCAGTGCTGGCTGTGCTCATTTCAAGGACTGTGGCTTGTTGTACCCTGCAAGTCACCAACTCTCTCAAACTGCTAAAGTCATACTCTGTTACACCTTCTACTCACAATGGAAATATTCCACAAATACTCTTGGTAAGTCTCTTTTCTTTCTAACAACAGCCAACAGTCATATTCCTTCCCCCTCCACACCTAGAACTTCTCGCAGGCCCAAGGGAGCTTCACACACTGAGCATCTCCCAAATCCAGGATTAAGCCTCTAGCACAGAAAACCACTTGCTGGTTTGGCTCCCTGATCCCCCCTCACTATTGACATGCACCTCCACAGTCAGTTTGGCATTTGCATTGAAGGAGAAGGTGAGAATATCCCCTTCCTTCCTCCACTTCCTGTGAGGGACAGACAAGCTTCCTCAGCCAGGAGAGGAGGGAGGCCACCCCTCACACGCAGGGCCAAGCCACCCAGCAGCACTGTCACCCGAGGCTGGTGCCAGCTCTGTGCTGTGCCAGTGCTCTGGACCGTGCCCTGGACTGGGACCAGCTCACCTAATCTGGGCTCCCTGCTTCCTCACGTTGAGAAACAAAGCCAAAAATGTAAATTCACAAAAAAGTGTTTCCACTGTTTACTTTTCCACAACCTTTTTATGTTCCTCATTTCTCCCTGCTGATTAAATGATGTTGCTCTGTCCACATTTGCTGAAGCCTTTCATCTGCCCTGTTGACACATCCATGCTCCAGCCCACAAGCACTTTGAGACTGAGTTCCCTCCCTGACACACATCCCTTGTCTGCTCAGGAGAGCTTCCTCCCACTTGAGGCTGGAGTCTGGAGGCTCTGTCCTTCCCAGGTGTAATCCCTTGACTCACATGGGTATTACACACCCAGATGTCTCCTCATCACAGGCCGTGGCCCTGCTTTTCTGGGACAGCTCATACCCTTGGGCCACCAATGAACTGTGTAGCAAAAACAGATCCCTGACACTTCCCTCCTAGACCCTTCCATGCCTCTCCTGATCCTGGATTAACTCCAGCCTCTGACAGAGACAGAGGTGTGTGACATCTCTGCAAGATAAAATAGTCTGAGAGGTTTGCAGAGGACTGTAAAGGACTCTGGGGAAAGGCTACAGGCCAAGGGCTCAGCCCATCTCCCCTCCAGCACATACAGGCTGCAGGGGTGGAAAGGACAAAAGAGAAAACTGAAAAGCATCAAGTCAAGGGCAAGTGGAAGTAAAAACCGTGGCAGCCTGATACACTCTGGGTGGAGATGGGGTGCAGGCAGCACTGCAGTTGCTGTGCTGGCAGTAATTCAGAGCAGTACTGTGCTGTGCCAGATACAGTGCACTCTAAGGCTCTGACAAAATAAAGGTTTCTGTGGGTTCATAAGAATAAATAAGAGCTGCATTATTAATCAGGTTGATAAGAATAAGTAATAGCATCAGGGACAAGACATAAATGAAAACTTCTAAGTGTCAGAAGTGACAGTCTCCAAACTCCAGCTGTCTCAGTGAGCTCCTGCAGCATTCCTGCAGATCACCTTTTGAAGTGAGCCCTTGAGGATCCCTGGCCCTGGAAAAGCTGCCTGACAAGGGGACATGTTACTGCTTTCTCCCTGCTCCAGAGTGTGGGTGCTCAGCTCCAGGACTCCCCCTGATCCCCAGGTGCTCTGCTCCTCAGACCCCTGAGCTCCCACATCATGGTTTGTCCTTCATTCCGGGTTCTGTGCTGTGAGGATACGTTTTTTGTTAACCCACATAGCACCAACTACTCACCAAAAAGGACAGAGAGGAATAAAATAAAAATC